TTCCACGAAATTTGTTTCTGACACCAGTTCGCAGCTGTACGTCCCCCAGTGGGGATATCACGATCTGTTCTTTCAAGGGGGTGGTACGTGGCGCTGTTTATGGCGCGACCAATGGCGAAACTTATTGTTAACTCGTGTTGGAGTGGCTGGCGCAAGCCATGGCGCAAGGTGAATCGCCACTCGCAGCGCAAATCGTCGTCCTCCCTCCTTTTGCCCTCCCCCTCCCTTCCTCCGATCCCTTGGCCCTCGCCCCCCCCGTTATCTGCTACCCTTCGCTTTCAAGGACTTCACCAGCCGCGCGTGGCAGGGGGTGAATATACCCCCCCAAAAAGGGGTACGATCGAAGACGAAGATGGCGGGTGTCCAGGGTTTGGGACATGCATATTGACTGACGCGCGAGCAGATAAGGGCGAACAGTCTTAAAATGGTTGTTGTTGTTGAAGTTGCATGCCTAATTATTAAACAATTGTATATGATCCCTGTCTGGGTTTTTCAATCAAAGAGCCATTTCTGGGCTCGCACGTTGTTTTTTTCGACGCGGGAGAGCGAGGAGTCACCGCAGTGGGTTGCAGGCCCCTGGTTTACAACAACAGCGGCCCAGGTTTACAACAACAGCGGTTCAGTTTATTCCCGCATCAGGCTCTCGCGCTGGACATCCTCGCGACGTATACAGGAACCGCGCCCTCGCACGGGATTTCGTCGCCATTGTTCAGACGCCGCGCCCTCGACACTCGGGAATCAGCTGTCGCTGTGGATTTCCGGACGATTTATTCGGGAATCGTGCTATCGCTCGAGACGTCTTCGCGATTCATGTAAGGCGCACGCTTCAGTAACCTGCCTGCTCGACCTGGCCGCTCCGGCCCGCTTTCACGACCCGCCCGTTCGGGTCTACCCGCCCGATCTGTCCGTCTGGTTCTGCCACGAGCTTTCTGCTCCTAGTCGCCTCCTGTTTCTTTCTCTCTCTAGTGCTCCATCCTCCTGCTTCCGCATTGTCCCTTCCTTCCATTCATCCTCTTTTCCCCTGCCTTAGGATCAGCACGAAATACAGACGTTGCAAGTAAAACTGATATATACCACTGAAGGGATACGTTCGAAGACGAAGGGGGCGGGTATCGAGGGTTTGCGATATACGTGTTGAGTGGTCCGCGAACAGGTCAGAGCGAGCAGTCTCTGAGCGATTGTAGTTCATTACTGAAGAATAATTATTGTTGGTTCCCCCCCTTTAGTAACATATGTGTTTTTCAATTGAAGTGCCCGTCCCGGGACTCCCACCGTGTTTTGGATGAGGGAAAACCATCCTCCTCAAACTGCGCTGTTGCCCCCCAGGCTACAAACGGCTCCCGCTTGATATTTCGTTGCAGTATACTGAGGAATCGCGCTCTCGCGCGGGACGTCCTCACAATGTATACCTGAGTCGCGCTCCTCGCGTGGGTCGTCCTCACTATTTGTTCAGGCGCCACGCCCTCGCCATTCAGGAATCGCGCTCGCCTGTGACTTCCGAGGGGTGGACTTAGGAATCGCGCTCTCGGCTGAGACTTCTTGGCGAAGTACGCAGGTTCACGCATTCGCGTGACATACTTGTTTTTTTCAAGTGAAGTGCCTCTCCCGGGGCTCGCTGTGTTTTAAACGGGCCCTTGGCCCACGGTTTACAACAACACCTCCCGCTTGATGTCTCCTTACAATTTATTCCCACATCGCGCTCTCGCGAGGGACTTCCTAATATTGTTATTCAGGAGCCACGCTTTCGCGTGGGACATCCTTGCAGTTTATTCAGACGCCACGCCCTCGACACTCAGGAATCACGCTGTCGCTGTGGATTTCTCCTAGACTTATTTGGGAATCGCGCTGTCGCTCGAGACTTCCTCGCGATTAATGCAGGACGCACGCTTTAGCAACCCGCCTGCTCGACCTGGCCGTCTAGGCCCGCCTTCCCGACCTGCCCTTCAGGGTCTACCCGCCCAATCTGCCCGTCTGGTCCTGTCACGTGTTTTCTGTTCCTAGCCCCCCTCCTGCTATCTTCTCTCGTGCTCCCTCTTCCTCCCTCCCCCGTGTCCCCTCCTTCCATTCGTCCTCGTTTTCCCTGCCTTAGGTTCTGCACGAAACACACGCGTTGCAGGTAAGAAAGATACTCCCCGAAGGGGTACGATAGAAAACGAAGAGGGCGGGTATCGAGGGTTCGGGACATACGTGTTGAGTGGCACGCGAGCAGGGAAGAGCGAACAGTCTTACAATTAATGTTTTTGTTGCGATCAGATAAGAGCGACCGCTTTTAATATGAATATTGCTGTTTTGGTTGTTAATGTTGCTGGTGTTGTTTTTTTGTTTCCATGTGTGTGTTGTTTGTTTGTGTGTTGAGGTTGTTGTTGTGCGTGTATGGGTGTGTGTGTGTGTGTATGTGGGGGTGTTTCGGTGCGTGTGTGTGTGTGTGTGTACGTATTGATTAGTTTGCTCTCCGCGTTGTCCGTTCGCCATGGCCGCATTCCTCGTCCCCTTCCCCTCTCCAGTCGAGCTGTTGCTCAGGCTTTGTGCTTTCCCTGGTTCCCCTTGCTCTTGGTTCGTCGCTTGCCCATTCTGTCCTGCACTGAATTGGGTGCCTGCCTTTTTCAGCCGCGCTGCCTCTTCAGTCTTGAGCGGTAGTCTGCCCGACCTGACCGCCGCGTCGGCGCGCGCGCGGATTCCGATCAGCCATCTGTGTAGAGGCTCTTCCCGCTCCTTGCTGTCCACAACTCGGCCCCGTTGTCCCCGTCGGCTGCCTCTGACCGCGGCACGGCTCTGCGCCGCCGCGAGCAGCACATCTGTGCTGAGGCAGTCGGCATTTGCCTACGCTGCCACGTAACATTGCCTGTCCGTTCCCAGCGGAGGCTGTACCAGGGCATCCCCGTCATTGCACCTCATCGTCGCGCCGGGGGACACATTTTGCGTGGGTGGCTCCGTTCAGGGATCGGTGTGCGGATTCAATCTCACCGAGGCCCCCTGTTTTGTTCAGCTTCCCACGCAACGCGGCCGAACGTGGCGCGTATTTGTTTACCGGGTGAATGCATCCATCGCCGTGTCGCCAGTGCGCGGTACGCTCATGTGCGTGGTCCCATGTGCGCGGTGCGTGTATCAATGTACGTGTTCCGTGTGAGCGGTGCCATCATGTGCCTGCTACTGCGTGCATCGCTCCGTGTGCCGTGAGCCGTGGTGATGTGTGCACGGGGCCGCGTGCACGGCGTCGTGTGCGTGGCGCCCTTCTCAGCATGCGTTGTGCGCGAGGTGTTGTGCGCATGGTTGGCGCCATGCATGTGATTCACTGTGCATCTACGTATGCCTTTGCTGTGTACGTGGTGCCAAGCGCGAAGTGGAGTCAGCGAGGTGTCGTGTGCGAGGACGAGGACGAGGAGAGGGAGGAGGACGAGAATGATGATGGATGAGGAGGAAGACGACGAGAAGGAGGAGGAAACGGACCACAGAAAACCCGATGTGCATCAACGGTGCTGCAATACGCCCAGTGGTTCAAGGTCCCCCCATAAGCCCCTACACGATTTTTCCAGTGCGGGAATTGCCCCTTGAAGTACGAGTGCCATTTGTCTTGAAATTTAGACGAGAACCCACGGCGACGAGGTAGGGTTATGAAGTTGAAGGAAGTGTTCACCGAGAGCGCTGCTTTGAAAACGGCCTGCCTTGAATCCGTGCAAACGATTTCAAATGAACGTTGGGTGTCTGGTCATATGTCCTACGGACGTGTCAAGCGAGACCAGTGATTTGAAGCAACCGCTCCCCATCCATGTAGCTGCTGCACATGTACAGGATTTGGATCATCAGTGTTGAGGGGGTTATAAGCGAACATCTGATTTCAAAAGGAGACTCTCACCATCAGGGTGAATCGAGCTTTCAAGACGAATGCGCGCGAATCTTCTGGCGGTTTCCGCTTGTAAGGAGAGTCGCCCTCCATCATCCGTTCATCCGTTGGATATATATATATATATATATATATATATGTATACGTATGTATATATATATATAAAAGTTATTATTATCATTATTCTTATTATTAGTATTATTATTATTATTATTATGATTGTTATTAGTATGATTATTATATATACGGATGTGCACCGCGCTAAGACGGGAGCCTCATTCTGAGAGCGACCCGCCCTACGTGTGTGGTATTTTTTGGTGGCGCTACGGCGAGTGGACTTGCTTCCGCACGTGTAACGGGACGATTTTTTCAAGACGAATGTGCGCGACGCGAGGACGAGAGCCTCATTTTGATTGTGAAAAGAATGTGCGCGACGCGAGGGCGAGAGCCTCATTTTGACCCCGTCCGCCATCCGACAGTTGGAAGCTTTTCGAGCGAGTGTGCGCAGCGCCAAGGCGGGAGTTCTGTTTTCACAACGACCCCTTCCTCCATCCGACTGTTGGAATCTCTGAGTACGAATGTGCGAGTCGCTACAGGGAGAGCCACATTTTGAAAACGATCCCCCTCCGTCCGACCTTTTTGAGTTTTTAATGGCGAATGCACGCGACACTAAGGCGAGAGCCACATTTTGAAAACGATCCACCCTCCATCCGTGTATCGGTAGGCGTCTTCAAACTCCTCTCAGGCGAAATGTCCAGCCTGCCCTAGCGACACGTCTGGTGGCTAGACGAGGAGGATTTGTCTAACATGAAAGACGTGGAGGAGGATGAGTAGGAGTAGGAGGATGACATGATATGGTCGTAGAACTTTCATCTTGGACGATGTGTTTTTTTCACAATGTGGGGTCCCAGAGGTCTAGACCCCTTCGCCGGGACCTTTTTTCCACCCCGAGCTGTTTTTTGATCTTCCCTGGGCGCGGTGAGGGCCCCCCAGAGGCAGAACACAGCCGAAAGCCTCCCGTCATGATTTTTCTTGTTCCACGATGCGAGGAGGCCTGGAGAGGGGGAGGGGGTTGTGGGGGAGGTGGGGGGTCTCTTCTGGAGGTCTCCAGAGGTCGCGTGCCGCGTGTGTGCCCTCCGCGGTGCCGCCGCCCGGGGAGGAGGACGACGGCCAGGACGACGGGGAGGTGCGCCCAGCTCTGCCGTGCGGGCCGGTCGCCTGCTCGTCGCCGTTCTGTTAGTTGTTGTTGGCTGCCGCCCACCCCCTGCTCGGGCGGTGCTCGGTCCAGAGCGCGGCTGCAGCGGCACTGAATGGACGTGCGGCGGCGTGCGTCGTGCGCCCTCTCCATTTTCCTCCCCCATCCGTGCTGGCGCCACGCCGAGTGGGATGGTGCCTTCAGATGCCCAGAAGCATGCAGCACGGGCGCCGACGCCGTCGTCGTCGCTTCACCCTCCCTGTGGGTGTTGCTGAAGGCGGCCCTGGCCCGAGGTGTGCCCAGATCTTCGCGCCATCCTGTGGCCTCCGGGGCCCTCTGGGCTTCGCATGGGGTGCTCCGGAGGCCACCTGTGCTTCCCTGGAAATCCTGGGGAAACCCTGGGCCAGGGACCCCTCTGGCAACTCCCGATCCTTGTTCGCGCCGCCATCGCAGTCCTCCTCGCCCTTCTCCTCAGGAGGGAGGAGGAGCATGAGGATGAGGAGGATGAGGAGGAGGAGGAAGAGGAGGAGGAGGAGGAGGAGGAACAGGAGGACTTGAAGTGATATGGCTTTGGGGCGCCTTAGCCCCGTTAGAGGGCTTAGTTCCCTGGTGCCACTACCCTGCAGGGCACGCTGGCCCGACGGAGTAACATCTTCTGGTGTGCGGCGCGCCCTGGAATTGTAAATCCTCTGGTGTGCGGCGCGCCCTGGGTTAATAGATCCTCTGGTGTGCTTGCTCTGCGGTTCATCTTGGCGCGACTGTAGATAGTGCTACCACGAACATTCGAGGTGGGGTGCGCACAGAAGACTGGGAAAGGGAGGGGGGACAGAGAAGGACGAGGGAGGTGCTTTGCAGCAGGCAGGGGCAGGGGGGCTGAAGGGGTTGTCACGGCTTCCGCTGGCTCCGCGCCAGAGTTGCGTGTGCGTTCCAGTGGAGGTGGTCTCCGTCTGTTCCCTCGCACCATTGACGAGGACGGCGTATGCCCCAGACTACCCGTACGATGCAAAGATCCGACCGTTCGTATCGTAATACATGCGCGGGCCCTGGTGATTTGCCCCGTGTGGCGGAGCTCGGGTTCCCGCGCAGTTCACTGGCGAACGGTCGGAAGCTCTGCGCGAGAATGGGGGGAAGGGGGCAGGGGGGTCGATGCGCGGGGCAAGTGGCGAGCGGGATGGCAGAGGCAAGAGGCAAGACAGGGGTGGCGACAGATGGGAGCGACAGACACCATTTTGCAGTGAGAGGGACCAGAGACTCACAGCAAGGCGGAGACGGGGAGATTCTCTCCCGTGCAAATCGCAGGGCCGACCTGTGAGTTCGGGTGTTGCCCGCGAGCGAATTTGGCCCAGGAGTGCTGCGCTCCATGGGATGTGGACGATTTCAGGCAATCTTTGCCGAGCCTCCTGAGCGCCCCCGTTCCCGAATAAGCTCCACAACTGCTGCATATGAAAACTATTACTAAAGCGTAATTGGAGACGTGCAGCGTGCGGATTGAGGGGTTCAAAGCCATGTTGGTGAAGGGAGTGTTGTACCCCTTGCATGGGGACGCCGTTGGCGAAGGCTTACGTGGGCCTTTGGCAGACCGAAGGCAGTGCTGACATGCCCAACGGGTGCGCTTCCATGCCCGCACATGGCTCCCCACAGGGGCTGCGGTGTCAGCTGCCGCCTCAGCTGCCGTCGGCGGCGGCGGAAAGGGGAGGAGGGGGAGGAGCGGCGGGGGGGCAGGGTAGGAGTTACCTTGCGGCGCCCATGCTGGTGGTGAAGCCTGGCTGGCGGAGATCACGTTCGAAAGTGGACCGCAAAGCCTTTGTCGGCGCCAGCCAGGGGAACCACAGGAATGCTTGGACGGCATACTTGAGATACCGTCGCAGTGCTTCCGACTCTTCCATTGAAGAGTGGACTTCTGCATGCGATGGTTTTGCCAGGATGAGGGCCCCCTTTTGGCGTAACGGTCTGCCAGATCGTTGCCGACCGCTTGCCACCATTCCAGAGTCAAGGGTGGAAGGACGGCTGGGTGTATATGCGCCTTTACTCTCACGATCTGGGATTCGGGGCTCCACGAGGGTGAGCCTCGAATATGTGTAACTTTAGTCTTGCATAAACGTGTTGTCTAGCCGTGACTTGGGACCAACGCGCCTCCGCCATCTTCGCGAGGCCGAGAAAAGAGGAGGAGGACGAGGAGGAGGAGGAGCAGGACGCATTCGATGTCCGAGCGTTTTGGGGCGTGTTAAGTGCTAGGCGCTGAAGCCGAAGCCTTGCCTCCCGCGAGCGAGCTCACCGCCCATAGCTGGTTGACACATCCGCGTACGGTACTCACACCATGTTTGCCACCAATGTTGGCCTCGTGGCGCCACGTTGGCGGCCTTGTGACGGCACCGTAGGATGGCAAGAGGCAAAGCGTCCACGGTGGCCAGAGAATGACACCGCTCTTCTTCGGTTTGGGCCACCCCACATGAGCAAGTCAAAACGGCGCCGGGAGAGAGACCGTCGGTTTCATACCCTAAGAGCGTAGCTCCACAGTGGAGCTCAAGAGTGTCGTGCATATAGGCTGTTCGCAACATGTTGTTGCCAATACAGGTTGCTATACTTATGTTGTTGTCTCCAACTTCATGTTGAATTCTGGGGCAAGCGAGGTCGTGCCATACATACATACATTCCGAAGGTTTGGTGCTGCCACCCGTTGCTCCTAGCGTTGTTTTTTTGTTCATCCGCCGCCTTTGTAGTCATGGCGTATTGACGTGAAATGCGTACATGCTGATAAAGATGCCCTCCTACAAATCGACATGCTTGTCAAGCCTTCAGCAACTATTGCTGGAGAACGGGTTGCCGTGCAACCTGGGGGAGCCCGCGGTGGGGAAGACCCCGAAACGCATGTCTTTTGGACATTTGGATTCCAATCTTTCAGAAACACGATCCCCCCGACGCCCTTCCTCACGATCCTCTCGACGACCCCTTGCCTGCCGCCCTTCCCAGGGTCCACGAAGTCGCCGACGACGACGGCTGTAATGCATGTGGATATTTCCTTGGCGGCGATCTCATCAGCGCAGGCAAACCTTGTACATATCGTTGTACTGTCTCGCCCAAAGTAGCGGATGACAGTTTTCAGGCAGGGCATAATGTCAGAGTCGTTGGTCTTAGCACTGCAGTCTATAATGGGGCAGACAGCGCGCTAGGGGAGTGGGATTATTCGGAGTGCCGTTGGCCCATTATCTCAAGTAGAACGACCTTCTGTGTGAAACCCACAAACATTGAAAACAGGTCGGTGTTGACGCAGCAGAGTTGCTGTCGTGATTCATGCGGTCCGCAGAGCGTCTTGAGTTCTATACAGAAGTATACAATAACTGGGTTGTCGACAAAACGTGGGAACATGCAATTGCCCACGGGAGCGTTGGATCTCGCATTTCCACAATTGCAGATGACGGGTGACATTTCGACACTACATATCAGGCTTTTGGCCGCGATTAACAGTGCTCTTCTACCACCTACACATCATCATCGTTGTCCTCCTCCTCTTTGTCCTCACGGCGCGAATTTGGCGCGTAGTTGCTGGGCTTGCTGCTCATGTGCGCACAGTGGAGCAATCACGCAGAGTTTCGATTGCATTGGCGTTATTTTCCATTCGAGCTAATCACATTTACCTCGTCTCTCACTCCTCTTCTAACTTCTTTTTGCTGTTATACCATTCCCATTGCACAGACGACCAATTTGTGCGAGAGGTGCCCAACAGGGCTGCGCAGAGCATCGCTGCATTGGCTCTGGCAGTTCCTTCGCCGAGGGACCTGTTATGGGTTGGAGGGCGTATGAGAGGAGATGTGGTGGACAGTTGGAGGAAACTGGACGTGCGTATCGACCGCCGCGTGCGCGTTGACCGCCAGAGCTACTTTTCGCCCAGCTGCACTCATTTTTTTTTTTTTTTTTCTCTCTCTCTCTCTCTGCTCTGTACATCGCTTGCCTGGCAAACGAACGTTTCTCTTGGGTCGACAGCGTTTCGGATTCAGATGGCGCCATTTATCTTTAGTTCGGGATGTTGGTGGATGGTGAGATGGCGAGGGCGAGATGGAGGATGTGGACGAGATGTGGGCGAAGAGATGACTATCACGGCAAGTGCCAGGTTGCATTTTCTGCAGCGTGCTGTGTTCCCACCGCCCCGATGTTGCAGCGCATGCTCGAGCGCAACGGCGCGCGATCCGAACGGCGGCCGAGGGCCACCCCGCTCCTCGGCCGCAGTGGCACGCCCCCGAGGCCGTGGGGAAGAGGAGGGGCATATGTGAGGAGGAGGAGCAGGCGGTGCGTGGAGGTGGAACACTTGCTTTCAGTCGGTATCGCATCATTGAAGCTGCTCCCAGCATCTACGCCTCGTGCAGGCCAGCCCGCAGGGCCAGCCTGCATTAGCGGTCGCACAAGTTTCGTGCCAAGCCCGAAAATAATGGTCAAACAGCACGCGGCCCCAGGTCCAGGTGGTCAGGGGTGAATCCACAAACCTTGGGTAGCAGCCCAAGAATTGCCTTCGAGTTTGCAGTCGCCTTCTTTAGTCTCGCGTTTCTGGCGCACTGCCAACTTTTGCTTGCATGTTACTTTTGATAGAGGCGGCACCCCACTGCTACATCGAGGTTTATTTTTGCCTTTGGCAGTGGGGGCGGGGGGGGGCAACGTACTAAGGAATGTGCCGGCCTCTCGTATTTGGCGGGCGCCGACTCCTTTTGCTATTCTTGTTTCCGCCCTATCTTCCAGTTTTTTTTTTCCACGGCGCCCGCCAAGTACATTGTGAACCGAATCGTGTGCGCGTTTATTTTTCCCAGTCAGGACAAACGCCACAGGTTTTCACCTCAAGTTTGCTTAGCGCAAAAAAGAAGAGCAGGATGTGGAGGAGGACGAGGAAGAGGAGGGGGAGGAGGAGGACGAGGAGGAGGAGGAGGAGGAGACGGAGGAGGACGAGCATGAGGAGGAGGAGGAGGAGGATGAGGAGGAGGGGGAGGAGGAGGGGGAAGAGGATG